AATGAGAGTCGCGGCGGCCGGCAGCGCGTGCCCCCCGGCCAATGGGGATTGCGGCCCCCTCAGGGACCCGCGCGTGCCCCCCCGCCAATGAGAACCGCGGCGGCCCGCAGCGCGTGCCCCTCCGCCAATGGGGGTCGCGCTCCCCTCAGGGACCCGCGCGTGCCCCCCCGCCAATGAGAACCGCGGCGGCCCGCAGCGCGTGCCCCTCCGCCAATGGGGGTCGCGCTCCCCTCAGGGACCCGCGCGTGCCCCCCCGCCAATGAGAACCGCGGCGGCCCGCAGCGCGTGCCCCTCCGCCAATGGGGGTCGCGCTCCCCTCAGGGACCCGCGCGTGCCCCCCCGCCAATGAGAACCGCGGCGGCCCGCAGCGCGTGCCCCTCCGCCAATGGGGGTCGCGCTCCCCTCAGGGACCCGCGCGTGCCCCCCCGCCAATGAGAACCGCGGCGGCCCGCAGCGCGTGCCCCTCCGCCAATGGGGGTCGCGCTCCCCTCAGGGACCCGCGCGTGCCCCCCCGCCAATGAGAACGGCGGCGGCGGCCCGCGCGTGCCCTTCGGCCAATGGGAGCGGCGGTGGCCGGCAGCGCGTGCCCTCCGGCCAATGGGAGCCGCGGCCGCCTCAGAGGTGCCGTCCCGCGCCCCGCCCGGCCCCCGGCGGGCCCGGGAGATGCTCTTGAGGCGCTCGGGATGAGGTGGTACAGGTCCCTCGCATCACTATTTTGCTTGCATTAAAATCGTCTTTTGGACGAGATGCCCTTGGAAGTTCACTTTTGAGCAAGGTAAAAGACAGGGGTTAACTTGTAAGGGAAGTCCTTTTCCCCTCTTCTTTTGTCACTGCCAGTCATGGTGAGGCTTAAGAGCTTTCCTTACCCTCATTTAGTAAAATGATTAATTGTTGGCTCCTAGCAAGTCCTTTGGACAGGACTCGTCTTTGCTGTTGTTAACCTGAATTTTACTGTTTCTTCCGCTCTGGGACTTTGACACACACTTTTTCTGGCCCCATCTGAAAGTAAAAAAATCATCTTGTGCTGCCTGTACACAAGTAGCAAGGTTTATCACACTCACAGACCAATATCAAAGGGAAGTCTGGGATCACACCTCAGGACTTCCCGTTGTCTGTCCAGCATGAACCTGTTTCAACTGCATCCCAGGGGTGCTGGACACATCAGTAAATCCACCAAGGCTGAGGTGGGAAGATTCTGGCAATAGAACTTGGATGGGTCCACCCTGGAGTAGCTGAGGCCTGTGTGGTGCCTCAGTTGCTGGAGCTGAGTTTGGTGGTTATTCTCCTGTCATGTATCTGAGTGTATTATTTGTATGCAAATTATTTACTCTCACCTTCCTGATAGCTTATGAATTAATTTTGCTATTATCTGTTACACTTAACACAGATGCAGCTGTATCGAGCAGTCTTAGGCTGTTAAAAATTACTCTTAATGTGAATATTGAATCACAGAGATGGTTTCATGTACGGCTTTGAAATAAGGTGGGGAAATGCTGCTGCTTCATGCGCAGTATAATTGAAAAATAACATCCTTACAGCGGCAGTGTGTGGCGCTTTTAACTGTCCTCCTTGTGTCCAATAAATAATGTTTAATGCCAGTTAATACCTTTTACTCTTGTTTCTAACTGTGCCTGTCTTATCTGTGGGGATGGAAAAATGCCTCAGCTTGTCTTTCCTGGAACCTGCCTTTCACTCAGAACTAATGTTGCCTTGCTCTTTTTCTGCTTCCCGCTCGTCAGGATTTGGTGGGCTTGAAACTGCAAACTCCACTGCCAGTGGGTTTAATTTTGGGGGTTTCGGATTAACTGCTAATCCCGCGGTGAATTTTAATATTGGGAATTTCGGTGTTTCCACTACCTCAACTCCACCATTCAATTTTGGTAACAGTCTGGCAAGTGCAGGTAGATAATGCATAAATACGTGTTCTGTGGTAAATGTTACCAGCAGGGGTCCAAGAATTACATCCCTCACTGGGAATCTGTGTCCACTACTAATCCTCATATCCGGTGAAGACTGGCAATAAAAGCTCTGGAAATGGAACGGGTTGGAGAGCCAGAGGCTTGGAGGGGTTTTGCCTGTTAAATTATCAAGGAATAGCTTTTGAGGAAAAGTATCCCTGTAGCCAAAAGTCTCTAAAATGTGAATGAATCCAGCTGATCCCGAGCAATCCTAGAGCCGGTCCCTACACCACATTTCCTGACATGAGATTCTTGGACTACTGCAGTCACGTTTTCATCTTCCCCCGTGTCTCCTCATTGGCCTTGCACTGGCTGTCATGAATGCACCACACCTCAGTAGTTTCTGTGGAGAAACAAATTGTATACGACCGGCACCAAGTCAGAGCCCAGCTGTGCCCTGTTCCCGAAAGCCGCCGTGCATCCCAAAACCACCCTACATCCCAAAACCGCCCTGCCCCAACTCTCCGGAGGTGCCCGTGCTCCAGGGAGGCACGAGATGGGTGCACTGGGGGGTGGCTGAGGAAGCCCTTTGTGGTCCCGTGGAGATCCATCAGATTTCAGCGATCAGCTGATGTCATTTCACCTTAAGTATTTCCCATTCCCTATAAAAACACTGGGCTGGATGGATTTCTAATGGTTTTGTTGGTGTGGAATTAGCCCGGGGTGTCCCGTTGCTGCTGCTCGTATAGGAATTCCATCCATCCCACAGTGTCATCGCTCTCTGTGTTACCTCCTCTCATCTGTTCCGTGCACTCCAGGGGTCTCATTGGGGTTTATTTGCTGTGAACACTCTTGGGCAGGATTTCTTTGGCTTCAATTGAGCTGCTCCAGAAGAGACCACGGATAGTCCGTTTGATATTTAATTTGATACTTTGATGTTTAATTTGTACTCTCAGGTGCCTTTTCAAGAAAGTATGACTAAATTTGCCATGAGTACAAAGGTGCCTAAAAACAGTGTCATCTGCTGGTGCTCCTGCCAGGGTGTCCCGCTTGCTGGCAGGACTGAAACATGGGTTTTATGGGGAGCAATTTCTTGTGCTCACTCACATTAAGATGTTTGCTGAATGGAAGTAAAATGCAATTGCACATCAGCTTTGATTTATACTTTTCATTTTGTTTGTGGACAGGAGGACTGTGAGTGTAATAGATCTAAAGAACCGTTTGTTGGCCTTTTTTTGCTATTGACATGTGAGTTAAGAGAGGCGGCATCTTTGTGACAAATCCTTTGTAGCAGAGTGTCTCTTCTCATTTGAACACGTGTAAGAGCAGCATGAAACACAGACCTTGGTTTCCCAGGCAGGTCCACAGGCTGCACCTTGGGCCAGCACTGTTGGCACCACTGGGGCTCAGGTGTTCACTTAGCCCCCCTCCTGCTGGCCAGTGACTGCTTTTCCTGAAAATCTGTGGAAGGCTGATTGCTTTTGCATCCATCTTCCTGTACTAGTAGTGGTTGAGCCTCCAAATGAGATGCAATGGGGAGGATCATTGGGAAACAAGGCTTTAAAAAAAAAAAAGGAGCTTGCAGAATTTTATCTGTGTGCACCTGGCCTGAGGCTTTGATGTGTTTCCCAAGGTTGGGAGTGTTTGTAAATTTCACAAAACATCAGGCTGCTTGTTAAACACTTAGCAGTGACATTGGCCAGAAGTATTCCTGAGAACAATTCTAAGAAATAGTACTTTTAGTTGTGTCTGTCACTAGGGAAAGCACATCCCTCTGGTAAAGGAACAAGGTGTCAGCTGACCGCTGCCTTTTTGTTTGCTTTCTTGACACACCATACAAGTTCTGGCTTTGTGGTCCGTGTTTTCTCCCCCATTTCCTTGGACCATGACC